ATAACATCAATATCTCTTTTTTTTTGCTGCCTGTTTTTTTAGATATAAAATAAAAATCTCTGTTGAAAAATGTCATCACCATTAATTCAACCAGAAAAATTTCAACACATTCTTCGTGTTCTTAACACAAATATTGATGGTCGTCGTAAAGCTGGTTATGCTTTAACAGCTATTAAAGGTGTCGGCCGTCGTTTTGCTCATGTTGTTCTACGAAAGGCTGATGTTGATGCATCAAAACGTGCCGGTGAAATGACTGAAGAAGAAGTTGAACGTGTTATTACAATCATTGCTAATCCACGTCAATATAAAATTCCAGATTGGTTTCTCAATAGACAAAAAGACATCAAAGATGGCAAATATTCTCAAGCAACATCCAACAATCTTGATACCAAAGTTCGTGATGATTTAGAACGTATGAAAAAAATTCGTGTCCATCGTGGTCTTCGTCATTATTGGAATTTACGTGTACGTGGTCAACATACAAAAACAACTGGTCGACGTGGTCGCACAGTCGGTGTATCAAAAAAGAAAGCGTAAACAATATTTATTGTTTTGTTGTTTTTCTTTTTTTTTATTAAATTGAAAACAAGAAATAAAAATCAACAACAACAGCAGCAGCAATAATGCATAAACACTAAAACAACATTGATTTTGTTGATATTTTCTAGATTTAAATTTTCTCTTTCTATTCAATATGACACAATTTTTACCACCCAATTTACTTGCATTATTTGCACCACGTGAATCAATTCCATTTTTACCGCCAAATGACAAATTACCACATGAAAAAAAACGTTTACCCTATGGTGGATTATTAGATTTTACGAATACATTTGAAGTAAAAAACTGATGATAAAATATTTCTAAATCTTTAATTTTATTTTTGTAGGAATCATATGAAACACCACCACCAACAAGAATTGAAACAAAAGAAGAAAAAATTGCTCGAAAAGTAAATAAATTTAATTTTATCAATTCTTATTGAATTTATGTTTTGTTTTAGGCTCGAGAAAAAATGGAAAAAGCAGCTCTTCAACTTGAACAAGATATAACTTTATGTAATACATATTCAATTAATTTTTTAATGAAAAATAATGATTATGTTTTTTTTTTATTTCTTAGGGGATCCAAATACTAATGACAAAGCTACAACAGATCCATACAAAACATTATTTATTGCTCGACTTGTAAGTGAAAATTTCACTAAAGAATAAAATTGATTCTATCTAATTTCTTTTTTTCTATAGAATTATGATACATCTGAATCAAAATTAAGACGTGAATTTGAAGTATATGGAAAAATAAAAAGTGTATGTTAATTGACATATTTAATTCAAAAAAATTATTTATTTATTTGAATATCTAGATAAATCTAGTACATGATGTGCAAACTGGTAAACCACGTGGTTATGCATTTATTGAATATGAAAAAGAAGCCGATATGCACGGTAGGTGATCTAATAGATACTAGAGTTTAGTTTATCTTGATATCGAATAGAAAAATTTTGACTTCAGAATTTTTTTGATTTTATGGTAGAAGTATTCAAAGTAATTTTCAAAAAAAAAGAACTTAGTTTTGTTTTTACATATATACAGGTGAGTGAGAATGTTTCGTCCCTTTCTTTTTCGATTTAAATTCTTACACAGGTTTGTTGAATAATTTCTTTTCATTCGCTTAACATGAGTTAATACGTTCGATTTATAAATTCGTCCCATTTGTTTCGAGGCTATTGTCCGTTGCCTGTTTGTCTTCTAGACACGCAACAGCACCGATGCGTGTGAGACACACTCAGTTGTTTTGCTGAAACCATTTGTGTACGTATAAATCTACATATAAAATATGGAAGAATCAGACAGGTATATGGACTTTTTTCTTAATGGAAAACTAACCAGCGCCAAAATGCGCTTTTCCATAGAAAGAATTAAATTTATTCGAGGTTTGTATATATATGTATATATATTAAAATCGGGTAAGAAAAGAAATGGGTAAGCTTAAAATACGTTTACAGAGTATATGATCACCAAATCTTAAACCCTTCGAAAATAAAAAAAAGGTAATAAACAATTAATACAGGTGAGAAACATATTCAGATTTATCTTTTATAAATTTTTTATTCTTTTTCTATAATCCCATCCCACCTTTTTTCTGCAAAAATAAAATACAAAAACTCGTGAGTAAATGAAGTCTACTATCTCAAATTTTCCTCCTTGAAAACCAAAAAAGAAAAGAAGCAGCCTTTGTGTAAGATTAGCAAAATGAGGGTAAGTCGATTGCGGTAAGAAAAAAAAAACATGGTCAAATGGTCGATGATATTTTGTTGTGTTGACGGTAAGAACTTCACTTTCAGCGGCATACAAACGAGCTGATGGACGAAAAATTGATGGTCGACGTGTTGTTGTGGATGTTGAACGAGGTCGAACAGTCAAAGGATGGCGACCAAGAAGATTAGGTTTGTATTTTTCAATATTTTGTAAATAATTATTAATGAAATAAATTTTGATTAGGTGGTGGTCTTGGTTCGACACGTCGTGGTGGTGCACCTGGAGGTAAACGTACTGGAGTTGAAGAACGACGACGATCATCATCACGAGATCGAAAACGACGATCAAGATCTCGAGGTAAATTAATAATATAGAATTTTTTGTTGAAGATAAATTTTGTATTTTTAGATCGCCGACGAAGTCGAAGTCGTGAACATAAACGTCGTATGTATTAAAATTATAATCTTTTGATTTGCTTTCTTTTTTCCTTCATATCTAGGTCGAACTCGATCACGTTCAGCAGAACGTCGTAGTGAACGTCGTCCATCACGCGATCGTCAAGATTCTTCAAGACGTCGATCACGTGAACGCGGTGGTGGTCGTCGAACGGGTAATTTTCGAGGTGAGAATGAACCACATAACAATAATGGCAATGGACCACCACATGATACATTCGGAATAAACGAAGGTTATTAAAGGAGAAAAAAGCTTATACGTGAATATATAAATGTCTGTGTGTGTGCGTGTGTGTGTGTGTATGAAACAATTTGTTTTTTTTCGTGTATAAAAGCAAAAGAAGATGATTCTTGTTTTCTCCTCTTGTCGCGTTTATTATTTGTCTGTTCGATTTTTTTCTTATATATATATATAAAGTCTCAGTCATCGATTTGATAGATTTTCTTTTCATAAAAGCCCAATGATATAGATAAAAATTAAAGACTTAATGTAAAAGTATAAATTTTTTCCAACAATGGCTAGAGTAAGATTGTCTTGATCTCTACGAGTATTCGGAATCAAAAAAAAATGTTTGTTATCTAATTATATATCAATTTGGCATTATATTATATTGAATAGCAGTTATACATACTATCAATGATATTTTTTTTCATGCGGAAAAATTAGTGCAATTACACACACAATAGTACAATATGATTCATTTCGACTAATAAATAAAACAATGAAACTTCTTTTATTTTACACAGCCTTTGAATGACAGTGGAAAAACTACAATATTTTTATAAACAAAAAATTTAACCTTGATCCTGTTTACAAATAGATACTATTATTTATCAGGTGAAATACATTTTGATTGTGTTTTAAAAATATGACAGTAAAAAGATTACTTTGATAGAATAAACGTTCATTTCATACTGTTATCACAGGAATTCATACTATGTTGTAGCGAGCAGATTAAAGGATCGATGTTAGTTTTTTTTGTAGAAAATGAACATGGAAGAAAATAAATTAAGAATTTTTTTCATAATAACACCAAATAAAACTTTTTTGAACCGGTAACGTAAATCAACCTGTCGAGTAACTCGAAATCCCGTAGCCTGTTTTGCAGGAAAATTATAGATTATATCTTTAACTTTAAAGTAAAAAAGAAATGATTTATATTGTAATTAACATAATGTACTATTTCATCTTATTATTTGTAAGAGATAGACAGACAGATAAGAAATATCAAAATAAGCTAGAATGTTTTGCTATTCTATTCCATTAGACACGTATCTGTACGCAATTCAAAGCGAAATAAAAAAAATGCTCTAGTGATGTGTCAAGTGCAAGGTTCCACGTTATTGGACACGTTTTTTTAATTTGTATGATCACGTGTAATAGCGAAGTTTTATACAAAACAAAGCGATTTAAATCAGCTGTTTTGAAAATAAAAACATAAATTCTAAAAGACGTACATCGAAAATATGACGCAATATAATTTTCTTCTGCACAATATCAAATTGTTTAATCATTTGTTTATACATTCATTTATAATATCAGTACAATACATCATTCTTACTTATGAATCACTTTTCCGTTTCGATACATATCAAATCTGTAACATAATTTAACGTAAATTTCTTTAGTTTTTTTTATAAACACCCACAATCACAAACTGACTTTATCGAAAATGAGAAATTTGTTAAGAAGATTTTGTTAATCTCAGATTTTTTGGTTAGTGGAAGTTTTGATTGAAATATCAAATGTTAAAAATGAGTTATTCTAACTCTATAATAATGAAGATGATAATCACAAACGAAAATTTGTACTTATATGGCAATATATAATATCATTTTAGAATATAAATCTTACGAAAACAATTGAAAAGGCAGCTGTTGTTTTGTCGATAATCAAGAAGTATTAGAGTTATAGCAGAAAATATTTTGTATAGATTTGAATAGATAAAGTGTAACTGAATACATGAATTTCTATGGTCATATTTAAAATATCAACTAATCACTAGGATAATACTTTATTAATACTTGTGCGTGTTTCTAAAACCTTTTAAAATGATTATAGTTCCTTAAATAAAATAAAAAATAACTTTTTTCAGGTACTCTCAGATAAATTTCTCTTTGTAATAAATAAGATCTATTAATTGATAACATATTTATCATAATAAATAATAATTATAGAATTTGACAATGAAAAAATAAAAAAAACAATAGATGTACAAATTCTTTTTAGATCGAATTGTTCTTTTGGTTTTGAATTTGAAATTATTTATTAAATTGAAAATATCAGGATGCATCATCATGATTATTCGCTGATTCAGATACATTTGTTTGTTGTATATTAGTAGTAGTAGTACTGGTAAAAGAAACACTATTCATTGCACTTGTATTATTTAATGATGAGATATTTGTATTTAATTGACTTTGATAATTAGTACTTGTATCATTATTATCTTCAATTTCTAGAAATCATATTTAGAATTATATATGATGAATAGTATTTATCTTACTTTTATAAGTACGTGGATCACCACCATTTAAACTTGCACTCATAATTTATGAAAACACGTGAGATTTATCAGTTAATCGTGCAATTGTCAGCCGAGCTGTATTTAAAATAAAAATAAGATAGATGATTGATGCTACTATTGTAGATATACAAGTATTTCAACTTGACAGTGAAGTAGCAAGTTGAATGTTATCTTTTTTTCGTATTTTTTTTTTCTAATTCTTTCAATAACCATAATACAAATACGAACGGAGAATAATATTCGTTATCATAATAATAATACATGACAGAAGGAGTAATGTCTCGACAGATTTTTAAAGTATTCTATTATTTGCTGCGCTCTTTTCTATTGTCGCGTGGATAGTCACGTGAATCTTAATGCTAATTTTTCAAATGTACTATTTAAATTAATAATTATTCTTCGGGGTAAGTCCATAGAGATATGAAAAAATTGTATACATACCGAATATATATATTTTATCAAAGTTTTCTTAACTGAGAATGTCTTTTATAGAATGAAAATGAGAATATTTAATCGACATACCAATCATTTCTTTCTGCCCTCTTCATCTGTCATAATGAGTGGGTTGAAAGTTCCCAGACATAATATGTTAGTTCATTTTTAATGCACTGGAAAGTATTTTTCATGAATTAAAATCTGTGAGGTAGGATTAGAATTTTTTGTTCTTTCTAGCTAGAAAATTAGAAGTGTTGTCTTAGGTTTTATTTGAAATAAGCTAAAGGGTTGTAAATGATGATTAGAATGTTTGTGACATAGATTTAGACATATTGCGTTGATTTTTTCTTGAAGATTTGTAAAATATCTTTTGGGAAGATTACAAGATATCCTAAAAGCTATAGCCACTTATTATAAGCATATAGTTTCACTTTGGAATGAACTTCTTTCAAAATATTTTTTGTCTAAGACAGAGTATTAATAGGTTTTTATTCTTTCAGATTAAGTTCGTTAATATCATAGAAAAAATAGTACACTTAAATACTACACATCAACTCTTTTATTTTTAATAGTTTTGTATAGTTTTCTGTATTCATATAAAGCTGGATAGAGTGTTGAATGCTTTATCGGATCGTATAATATACATTCTGTTCCATTGTTTGTAATTCGAACAGTTGATAAATTTCGAGAGATAGTCAAAAAGTTTTTTCATATGTATAAACAATGTTCCATATGATACCTTTGAGCCTCATATATCATAAGAACTCTTTTCGACTAGCAAGCTAGTACTTTATCAATACAAATTTGATTAATGAAGAATATGACATGAATTTCTGTTTGTATAGCTTTGACTTCTCTCCGATTAATAAATTACATGCACCGTCTTTGGTCCTGGTCTATGTCTCTCGAGACAGTAGTTTGACTGACGTGAATAGATTTAGCAATAACACGTCAATTTTCTTAATGATTTCCCCCATAATGATTGCTGTTTGCGATGTTTTTTCTCGAAAAATTTTAATTTTGGATTCGGAATTCCTTCGACTGTCAATCTTTTGCTTTATATTAGACAGAGTCGGCTGAGAGACATGTACTTCATCGAGTTTCAAAACTACATCTTTGAGCAATATCGGAGATTTTATTAAGCGGCATTTGCTTAAAATGAACTTCTATGCATCGAACGAAACAGAAACAGTCTAATTATCATTTAATAGCAAAGAACAAAGAAGTCGTTCTACATGTAACTTATGCACGCGACATCGGGAAGCTATGAATAAATAACGTGATCGACCCTTAATATAAAAATTACCAAGTAAATTATTTAAAAAGTTGATTTGAAACTTGTCGTATAGGAAAATCTTTTTGACTGCCTATTAAAATTCATCAACTTTCCTAATTACAAACAATGGAAATAAAATGTAAACTATATAATTAGATAGAGCCGTCGACACTCTATCCATCGATATCAAAACAAGAAACTTCCAATGTTATACATGAATGATACAGAAAACTGTACAAAACTATTAAAAATAATCGAATCAGCTTGCATGTATTGAATTTTTAATATATTCACTAGAATGTCTATGATTTTATTATGATTTTTTTAGATATCAGATATTTCAATATTTATTTTTAAAACCAACTAATGAAATTATAAAAACATGTGAAAATGGTCACTGGTCACGTATGTCTTGTCGATCGTTCGAAGGTTCTGTTACATAATTCGAACAGAAAATATACTCAAGCAAGTCAAAAATGAACAAATGGTTTATCTTATTATTCTTTAATATTTAAGTATATAGATGTATGTATAATATTAATTGAAACCTTTCAATTCATTCAACAATCATTTCGTGTCACCATTTTATATGCTTTAATACTTGTTTTTTTAGCAAAAAAAAGTGAGTAATGAAATCAACGCAAGAGAGAAAAAACAAACACAACAAAAGAGTTGAAGATTCTCATGTATGTGACGATGTATGTTGTTCGCTTGTGCAATATATAGAACAAACATCAGTAGCAAAAACAAAACAGAAAAACAGACAGATAGACAAAAGCACTCACACACATGATTAACGCCATCAATGAAAGTGAGAGAAAGAAACGAGGCAAAACGAACTAGATTTATAGAAACAGAAGAAAAAAAAGAATAACTGAATATGAAATCCACATGTCAAAGACAAACTAGATGAGGATCACAAAAAGAAAAACCAATTTTCAAGACAATATAATAAGTTTTCTTTTATTTTTTTCTGGTTGCTGGAAGACAAATGAATAAATACGGATGATGATTTATATATCTATATGCATATATTTTCTTGAACTTCATTTTTTCTAACGATGAATACCATTTCGCTATGTTTAAGATGAATAGAAAGAACATATACAAAAAAAAAAAAGAAAAAGAAATGAAGGATAACAAGCGGAAAAATCAGCAACCAGAAAAAATGAAAGATGAACATATACGTACATTAACTCGACAAAATACGTGATAACAATAATAATAATAATAGTGAAAAGACGTGTGTAGTTTTTTTTTAATAGCTTTTTTTTGTCTGAGAGAAATGTAAATTTATTTTGTTGGATGGAGTAGCAGTATAGAAATAAACAAACAAACAAACAAGAGAAAAAAACAGAAATATAAAAGACAAAAAATCGATTTTTATAGTGTTGCCGATGTCGTCTTTATGTTTTTTATGTATTTTCCTTTACTGTTCTTTATTTAAGACCATTACTTTGATGTTTAGTCGTTTTTTGTCCTTTTGTTATATTATTATCATTACCATTAACTGTTTCATTTATAGGTGATGTTGCTCCATTAGCTGAATCTATTCCATTATTATTATTGTGTAATGATGATGGTTGAGATTTTCTTGATGTTGAATTTTGTTGTGACTGTCCGCTATATCCATAACTATCTTCATAATATTCGCTTGGGTTATTATTATAATTTCTATTGTATCCACCACCTCGTTGACCACGAGAACCACGATTATTATTATATCGATTGTTGTTATTATTATTATTACGGTAAGATGATGATGGATCGTTATACTGTTGTTGACCTTCTGAAAAGAAAAATTTTTAAATTTTATTTCAACAAAAAAAATCTAACAAACCATTTGTCTCTTGTGTATCATATGAAACATTTTCATCATCATTATCTCGTCGTCGTTCAGTATAACCTATAAAATGAAAGAAAACAAAATTATTATTTGAAAATTTAATTGTATTTGAAAACAAAAATATTGATTAAGATCATTCCAAACATGCTCGTATTTTAAATGAAAAAGAAAGTAAACAGAAGGATTTGTTTTAATTATTTTCATACATTCGGCATATTATCTTGTTATAAATATGCAAGTCTACATTATAGATAGACATTAATAAGGTCAGAAAAGCAGCGAAAGAAAACAGATAGTAATGATTGATACACCTCTTTCACCATGTGCTAATCTAACACGGTTTCGTCCGTTTCGTCTGCGACGTTGTCCTCCTCGTTTCATAGTAGGTTTCGGTTGTGACATCGTAACAATACGATTAGCAGACATTTCTTCTTCTTCGTCTTCACTTTCAACCTGATCTGCCCAGCTACGATGTTTTCGAGTGACAGTAATTGTCGATGATGAACAATCAATAAGCTCATTCGTTTTATCGTCGGGAAGAACTGCTATCATTTCTGTAACTGTTATAACGGAATAAAATTTGTTTTCATGAGCAAAAAAAACATAATAGAACCTATACAAAATCTCATGCTATCATTAAACGTACCAGTTTCGCCTTGCGGACCAGTACGATATGCATTTGAACCGGCACCTCGACGTCCACGATTACCATTTCCAGTTGGATAATTATTTGGTCGACGTGTTTGTTGACTGTTATAATTATCATTACGTGGTTGTTGTTGTTGTTGTTGTTGTTGATAGCCTGTATCATGATAATTACGTGCGTTAGCTGAATTATTCATTCGATCTGAATCGTACCTATAATAAATTAAAATCCAAATAATAAATAAATTTTATTTCTAAAAAAATATTTACCGTTGTGAACGTCCACCTTGATAACCTGAATTGTTAATCGTTGTGTTTACATTAGGACCTTGTGGACCAATAATAGTACGAAATTGTTCATTAACTTGAATTTTTTTTTCTTGTAATTCATCAAATTCCTTTAAACAGGACATATGATAATCAAGTAAAACTTTTGCATTAGTAACACTTTCAACAGTACCAACAAAAACAAATGGAACTTGCGTCTATTATTCAAAAAGAATATAATTACAATGAAATTAGAAAAAAACAAATCTTACAGGATAAGTATTTTCATCTCGTGTTGTTGATTGTTCATTATCACCTTCAATTTTAACGCGAATAACTCCACTTTTATCAACAATTTCTTGGATAATATGTCCTTTTTTACCAATAACTTTACCAATAAGTTCTCGAGGAATTGTTACAGTATCTTCAATATATTCAAGTAAACTACGTGCTTCTTTAACAGATTTTTCTGACTAAAAATAAAATAAAATAATTTCTATAAAAACAAGAATTGTTTTTTTGACTTACATCACCAAATACTTTAAATGTGCAAGTATCGTCTTCAACCTCAATTCCTGTTATACCGGGTACCTCTCGTGCTTTTGATATATTTGAACCATGCGTACCAATAGCAAGACCCATTAAATCATTTTTAAGAGTAAATTTTTCGAAATATTTTTCTGTCTGATTAACTTTCATAAGCTAAAAAAGAAATGAATTAAATATATATAGAGAGAGAGATCATTAAAATTAATAAGTACTTCAAGTTGTTTGGAAACTTTTTCAGTTTCTTGTACAAGTTTAGCTTTTGAACGTAAATTTCGAAAATGCATTTCGGATAGGATTTGAGCACGACGAAGAGTAGCATCGTTATCTGACTAGAATAAGCAACAAATATAAACATTAGAAAAAGAATAGATTTAAAAAAAAAGAAACATACGATGACAATAAGTGATTCTTTCTGTTCATCATATCGAACAACAGCAGCACCTGTTGTTCGTTTAAAATCTTTATGATTTGCTGGATTGCTACATCTATTTGTATATAAAAACATATGAGAATTTGTTAGATATTTTTTAAAATTTTATTCTTACACTTCTCGAATATCTTTGCCAACGGGTAATTCTATTCGTTTAAATGATGCAGTAGTTATTGGAGGACTAGATAGATTATTTCATGAAATAAATATCTAATCATATGATATATATATATATACTTTGTATTTGGACAACGGATTTTATCACTAGATACAATATCCGAATAACTGGCACCTTGAGCACTAACTTTATAATCAACAACGAAAAAGTCACCTTT